ATTGTTGAATTGGAATTGGATGTTATAAGCGCATCTGATTGATAGCTGCTTTAAGTGGACAGTTGGTATCTCTATCTTTATTTTGTGCTGCTCAATGTAAGTACAAAGAAAGTTGACTGTTTCTAGCAGTAGGACATTCGTGAACAGAGATACGAAGTCCAAAGAAACCATTCGATAGTCTAAGATGTTCATGGTTTTAACGTTTTCAACAAATAGGAAAGTGTCCGTAAGTTGATGAAGGGCTATCATTTTCTTAATAGGATCCAAAGTAGACGTTAACCATTTTGCGATGCTGTGATATGGTGAGTTCCTCATATCCAATATCGGTCGCATTGTTGCACCCGGCTTGTGTATTTTTAGGAGACCGTAAAGTCTACGAATTATGGAGCATGTGGGTCTTAATCTTTCATATCCTTCTTTAGCCATGTGGCCATTAGTGACCAGTGATTTCAAACACTTTGTCAATTGTGCTCCTTTGTAATCTGTTTTGTCCTTCTCTCGCTCACATCGTACAAATTTGGAGGAGTCCGAGGAAATTTTTCATTTTGTACGTATTCCATGCGGTCCATGATCTCGGCTCCCGATCCTTTACCTGGTTTGGTGATTATGATCCCTTCGTTTTGCTGAAGTTCTCTTATGGCTTCGATGTGTACCTTTGTTAATAATCGGGAATGTGTCATGGGTATCGTTGATACTGAAAGGAAACATCGACCAAGTCTGACTTAAATTGTTCGAGGCTGGTGTTGGAAGTGGATACTAAAGCACTTATCTTGCTGTTAAGGTATTCGAAGAGTTTCGTTTTCTACTCGGTGATCATTACTTCGTGGATGGCTAAACCTTAAGCCCAATGAAAGAACCTGCATTTGTAAGGTGTCTAGTCCCACACTGGACAGGTTGTGTATATATCTTTCCGGATTTGATGGAAATGTGTTCAGACATTCCTTCACGGTCAGTGTTTTCTGAAGAACTAATCTCTTCTTAGATGTTCGCTTGGAGGTCACGTTGCCTACATACTCGATAAACCGGACTCGATCATCATGGTCGAGGACGTCCAGGGCGGATTTCCTCTGCTATATGCCTTTTAGTCCCAGATAACTTCGATTTTGCTGATACTATAATGTTTTGCGTATGACGCTTCAAGCTGCTTGTTTTATGGTGACTATGGTGCCTGCGCAATGCTTTTGGGTAGTTGCTCGTTTCAACTCAGTGACAATGAAATTCGATAAAGGCTTCCGTTTCGACATGTCTGACGCTGAACTTAATATACTGATTGAGTTCTTTAACGCATTTGCAACGTTTAACATCGTGGTGTCACATGCCTTCAATCACTTGACCACATGAAACGTTACGTTAACTATTTGAAATTTTTGTTCAATCAATATTTGCCCTCTGTTTCCCGAATGAACACCTCTTCTCAACGTATATTTTTGTACCAAGCCCGGTGATGAATAAATCGAAAACAATTGTCCACTTTAAGCGTACCGCTTGCGTTTTTTCTTACATTTTACAGTGAACATGGGCGTACTACACGATAATAAACATATTTCCCGAACTCTCGAGAGCTTGCACCCACAGGGGACAGATTAGGCTTTAAAGAGAATTCCAACTTGATACTTGCCAGAGTAATATACTGACAAAACACATAATACAAGTGACACATTGGCTAATGCGAGTAAGCTGTTGGTAACAATTAAGGTAAATGCAGTGTCTCCCGAACACGTTCCAAGTTTGGGACCAGAAGCTTCCTTCTCCGATGTCCAGACGACACTCAATTGAAGATATCGCAAAAAATGGGTGAATAGAATGCGGTTATGTGAAGCAGTGAAATTGCGGATTTATGTGCCTTACACAAAGCATAAATGCGAGGCTAACTAAAAGCTGCGCTGAAGTGACCAACACGCTAAATTAATTGGCAGAGTTTATGGGGGGGGGGCGCGGAGAGCCCAAAAATCTATTCGATTATCAGAGATGGGAAAGAAATACGGCAAAAGTGCTTGGTGCGATGTACTACCTATTTGGGTATGCACTTGAGTAGTCCATCAGGACTGATGGCAGCACTTGGAGGCAGCGAGAAGAAAAGTTATGTTGTATGCTAGAGACGATTTGAACCCAACTGAAGTGGAAGCTGGCTAGTAATACTCGTTGCTGCGCGTAACCCTCAACTATGCATCGTCAGCTGTTGAATTCAGTGACAATGGAGACCAGGGTAGAGTAATGTCAGGGATAAATTTTGTCTGCCCAATCTCCCAATGTTGTCATGTTTCCATTCACACATAACAGGTTTTATCTCTAAGTGTAGTAATGGAAGCATCTTGACTTTCACAACAGTTGCTGTACACAGATTCACCACTCACCGCCTCAAGTCATTCATGGAATCGGTAAACAACTCGAAATGTGTAATGGGAAGTGGAGAGGTTAGGAGTAAACACTTTTTGTCCAGTCCACCAAGGTAACTGTGTTTTGCGTAACCAAACGGCAAATCACGATCCAAGTAACATGAGAAGGAATCGGGAACCCGACTTTTGGTATTGTCGTTTGGAACATATCCCAGGAACACACGCCAGCCTCGTGAGGAAGGAGACTGTAGTTTGGAAATTAGCTCAACAATGGCTAACATGATGTCAATGATGGGTAGCTGCCAACACACGCATATTACATTTCACCGAATCTCAAGACTTTTCACATGGGTCGTTGCAAGGGCAAGCATCAAAAATGATGGTAACATCCCATTGTGGTTGGATCATCCTTCTAAATCCATTACTGGTGTCACTACTTCTAATTTTTGATGGTAGCTTCCTCGATTACAGTGCGAACTTAACCGCATAGCAATTTTTGTTGGGTTTGGAATGAGATTTTGAACTGCGCATTGTCCGGTTACCGGTTCCTGCCGCGTTATACCTGGCAGCCTATGGCTAGAAACTAGCCCGACCATTGAATCTCAAGCTAACAATTATGCTCGGAAGTAAATTTAGATTGCGATTTGTTCTACGTATCCGTAGTGGTTAGTGGTTCAAAATTTAACGTTTTCCATCTTTCACCGTAGCTCATATTTGCAGGTAAATTTGGCGGCCGCTTTGCAACAGTTATCTGACCGTTTTTAACGCTATACTACTATTTTACGCAAATCACCGTATGTAACTGGACTGTATTCACACGTCTACTCTAGGCTTTCTTAGGATAATTGTTCTGCCAATACACACGACCACGTTTTTTGCGGCACAGTAGTCGAAACATTGTGCCTTCAACCAGCGTGTATAATGATGTGATGGCTGTTGGCAAAAGGCCACATTTCCCAAGGACTGCACTAGAATCAGCCAACACCATGGACTTGTTGTTAGCCATCATTTTTGATTTTTAAACGGTGCGCGCTATGTTCCCGCTTCAAACGAGCACTGTGACTGGCTGATTTGGCAATGCCGTTGAATGACCTGAACAACTCATTTGTTTCCACTACTTCCTTATCTTCTGTGTTGTGCGAATAGATCTCGCACCTGAGGTGTCTTGTCTTCTTTCCTTTCGGGGTTGGGGCTATAGATTGGTGCCGGATTTGTGTTGCATTTGTGATTCTGTGTCGTGATTTCGTTGTGAGTGTTCGTTCCGAATTGCGGTAGTGGCCATAGGATCGCAACAATGACCATCTTTCTGGAGGTGACCTTCAACAACGTAACTAGTTTAGTAAATTTAAAGAAGCAAATTGCCTCCGTCCCAGGTCAAAGACTAAGTAACACATGGGGATAGCGGTATTGATAAGTGACAGGTGGCCTTGAGGAACGTCACACGTATAGGGCAGTCCTCAGGCAATGGTCCAGTTTTCTAACAAGTTCATATAGGATTGGATGTATGTTATATCGAAATTTCCTTGTCCGTGGTCGAAACGGTTGGTGATTCTTACGTCGTCGGCGAAGTGAAAGGCCTTCCCGAATTTTGTTATCAAATAGGTCATTCGTGCAAACCAAGAATGAAAGCGGGCTTATCACACTACCTTTGAGTATGCCGCTAGTTATTGGTTTAGCTTCGACGATTTTGACTACTTGTCTTATCTTCGATATAAAAGGAAATCCAATTTCGAAGAATGTTTGTAACACCGTGCTACTCAATCTTGGGCAGAAATGGCTTATGAGGTACCTGTTTCAATCGCCTTTACGGTATCATTATTTATACCGATTTCGACGGATTTCCTTTAATACTTTTCTCTTGCATCATTGTCCAACTAATCGAGCTGCCTAGTACCACATGATCTATTCCACAAAATTCACACGGATGGTCTCTTAGCGGACTCACGTATTCCATTACGCTCTCTTTAACTATATGCTCTGTGTTTCCGGAGACAATGGGAGTGTGTTAATTTGGACGAAACTTTCCCAACTTCTGCATTGGACCACCGTTTGTGACTTGGGATTTCATGTGAATTGTGTCGGACCACCAGATTTTGGTTTTCCTAATAATACGCAGTATTATAGCTCTTATTTTTGCCTCAATGACCAACTGTATATTTCGGACTGGGTCTCATTTGCGTCCTCTTTTTTGACATTTCACCGCATTCGCCACTTCGTTTTTCACCCACTTCATCGTGGAACAGGTCTTCACCATATTCCTACTCTCCATGTTTCCTTTGTGTTGCATTTTTTTCTAGTGGACTTCGTCACACAATCGGCGATTTGCTTCTTTCGCACTTCAATTTTATGTCACCCGTGTTGTTTACCCATTTTATAGCTACTCACTGTTATAGGTGAAGTATCGTGGTGTTTCACTCAAGTTATCGCTTGTCTTTTGGCTGTTTCTGCAGTAGCACATTCATTGCTTCGTTTATTCGAACTGTCTGATGGAAGCGTTGACAGTTGCTGCCAAACTGTTGCTCCTCACTTTCTCGGAGTTCAGACAGGGCTTGGACGCCATTTTTATTTTCATCTTGCAAACCTTTTGTTCTGTGTCATAATTTACTGTACCATATTTCATCGAACGTCAACATTCCTTTCAATTCTTCTATTTTCTGTTTCCAGGGCAATTCCCTCAGCTTGGCTACCATTGATGTATCTGCTGCCTATGTTGGCCTCCAAACTTACCAGCCTGTAGTGTGTGGATTGCTTTTGACTATATACACTTACGCTGGTCCTATCTATTGGCAGCTGGCTTACACTGCACGATATTCGGCATTCGAAATCGTCACTGGTGCATCCTCTAATAGGACGTACTTTCGCTTGGGGCTTGCCGTTCTTCCTATCACATTTTGCGCCACAGTATGCTTTGTCTTGCGGTCTCATCTGTTTATCTGGACCGTATTTACGCCTAAACTGCTGTACTTAGCGGTCTTTTATGCTGCCTACGTTCCCATTTTCTTGTTTTGCAGCGCGATGCATTTGTAATTTTTATTTTTACATGGTTTTACAGCAATTGTTTGACTAACACGATGTTGATCAGCTGACTCTTAACTCCTTAACCTATTGTCGCATTCTGGCACACCACCCTGTGATATCTTTTAAACAGCCACGCGGTATATCTAGTTTCCCACGAACACCGCTTTGCTTGTCTGTATTTTTTGTCTAAACTGTTACCTCTTAGCTTTGCTCGACTATTTGTTCTCCGTGTATCCCTAGCAATGCATCTACACCATGTGTCACCACTGTCATCGCCCGAACGAACACCACCCCTGCAGTTTTACCTGTTAGTCCCTTGTCACGTATCTGCAAGTGCTGGATGTTTCCCGACATCTGGTTACGACTAACACTAACATCATCAACAGCAGCAGTACATCGGCCATTTGAACTGATGCTCCGCTGTCATGCAACCATGATGACCTATGGAAGGAAGAATAATAAGAGAAAAGGGGGCTTACCGAAAAACCTTAATGCCCTAAGCAAACATTCAAAGTCAAGGCGTCTACACCTTGTTTTAACAACATACCGTCACAAGCAGCTGGCTATCGTGCAAAGATAATACGGCTTTGGCGAGACATCTTCCTTGCGGCATTCTCTACTCCGCGTCATAAACAGCCAGTACCGCGCAGCTAACTCAGCACCAAACACATTTTAAGCAGGCATTCCAACTAAGAGACGGCAGCAGACGCGCCACTCGTGCCAACTACGAGCGATGTTCTGTAAAGTCTCGAGCCAAGCACAAGGCGAGTCACGCACTCCAGCCTGGAAGATGAGACGGACCGACGGCACTCAGTTTGGTCGTCAGGGTCTCCATTTCCCTCTGGCAAGTTAGCTTTTGTCCGCGTCGAGTCTTGCGCTACTCTATATCTGATAAACAAACTACGGCCTCGGTAAGCAGTGATTGCCATATGTAGTACATGCCGAAGCCAACGCAACTTATTCAATGCTATCTGTCGTTCTTAGGAACCAGCTGGGTTATCGCGTCATCTTTGCTGACACGCTGGTGCTACTCGGCACCAGCAGTACTCCGCGGACAACAATGATCAAAGCCTTGAAGGCGCCTCAGATCTTCAGACCAAACGGGTTAAGTTTTACTCCCATAGAGTTAAGACGGCGCTCACTGTGGCCCTGTAAACATGGTCTTCTGTCGCCAAAGATGTCGCAGATTCAAGAAGGCAGTTATAGCTTTTCAATGCGTGAACTAGCTTCAGTTACCATGCGACCATCGTTGCTGATACAGCTGCCAAGGTAATTGAGTCGATCAACCAGCTCGGTTTCGTTTTAAAGGGTTAAAGGATCATCAAGTGACTGGTTGTCCTGCAGCAATACCGCACTTTGAAGGTGCGAAGCGGATACCAAATAATGGGACCACTCTAGACCGGCTATTCTGAATTCATTGGGCCGCCACAACATCGTCAAAAAGCAAGACGCTATGGCCCGTATAATCAAGACCAACTAACCTTTCACCAGGCAGGACCTCAACGCTTACATCGTGTGATTTCATAAGGGTACAGTCCATGATAGAGCCCACTAGTTGTCGGAAAGCTATCCGACAAGTCATTGTAGGCCGTGACGCGGCCTGTAGTGCTCGAGTATAGAGCACATAGGATGTTCGCATATTGCGTGGGAACACCTTTCCGCGCAAGTATTTCGAATAGCATGCATCGATGCATTGAATCGAACGCACTCTTAAAATCGAGGAACCCAGCTATTGTCGGCCTGCGGTATGCGTGGCGCTGTTGTAGCACCTGCCGCAAAGTGAATATATGGTCTATACAGTCTCGTCCAGGGCGGAAGCCTGCCTACTCTTCACTGCTCCGAGATTCTCCTCCCACAGTGAGGCGACGAACGAGAATCGAGGCCAATAATTTTGTTGTAATTGGCGTTAGGCTGTTACCCCTGGGGTTAGCACAGTCTGTTTAACTGTCCTTGTATATTGCCACTATAATCGATTCACCCCAGTTAGCCGCAACACTCATGCCTCCACATCTGCTCGAACAGGGAGGTCAGTGCTTTGCAGAAGACCTCGCCATCCTTAAACAGTGCAGGTGAGAGGGAATCCGGGCCAGCAGCACAAAACGATTGAGGACTGTGATCGCGTTTAGGACCTCAACCTCCGATATGGCCTCTAAACTAACCGTCTATGGCTCATCCTGCATCACCTGAGTGGGATGGGGTCTGAGCGCAGAGGACCAATTTAACTGCTCTTGAAATTGTTCCGCCCAACGAACCATACGGCTCTCCTTCTTGTATCACTGTGATTCCGCTGTCTCTGGTTCTCTCACTGACGCGTTGCTTTTAGGGACCAGTGGTACGGATCAGTTATAAGAGCTTGCGGTTACTGCCTAGTGCTCCTGCCTCCTCCATTTCTTGAGCCCGACTGGTCCATCAGGCTTCCTTGTGCACGTACATTCTTCGCTTTACTTCGCGCCTAGTAGTCCGTCTGGTCACATTTTGTTCAGCCCCAGTCGGAAGGTTTCTTCTGGATTCCAGCAGGTTCACCGACCTCTCAGATATCCAGTGACTGGTGCGGTGACGATTGGTGGTGCCATAAGTGGAGGCTGCTGCGTCGTGCATGGCGGCCGATAACTAAACAATGCTGTCACTTCAGACATCCATCTTTTTCATTTTGGGTTGTTGTTATGAGACTGTCCTGATGAGAGGACTTTCGTTGTCGGTTAAATAAAGCAATGGGATTGTGCCTAGAAGCAACACCCACGTGTTAATCAAGATGTTCACGGGTAACACAACACTGGCGACCTGCACACATCCTATCTTCTCAGTCAGTTATTTGTGACATTTTAACATGCAAACCTAATGAGAAAATAACACCGATTGTAATGTAGAATGCGTGCGTGTCATAGATGCTCCGTAATCTGAGCGATCACTCTCCCTCTCTGTCTTATCTCATCGGTTGCCACAGTGGCGGCGTCCCATGCTCCCTTTGGATCACAGTAAAACCACCAGCCTTGCACTCTGTAGATTCGCGGTGCCCATCTTGACTAACTGAGCCTTTTCTTCATTAAAGTGATTCGTGTTACCGTATAACCTCTTGTGCGTACTCTCCCTGAATTGGGTAGCCACATCGGGTAGGATGGGTGCTCCATCAGGAGAGCTTGCCGATGTCCTTGATCCGTGTAATCCTTTTGGGTAGAGACGCTCAGAACTCATTTCAGTAAAGAGGAACTTTTGTCATCATCGTCTTCCACGCATGATCCTCCGAACCTTTGGGGTTTGCACTGCGGTCTTCCGGCCAAGCAGTTTGACAAAGAGACCTCCATTGTTGTCAGAATTAAAAATTGCTCGCTCTCCAAACGAGACCGCATAATTTCAGCTTGCTGACGATCTGATTCCATTCGTTGCCTTACCGTGCTCTTGTTTTCGTGGTCTGCCGTCAATTTTCGGCCCGGATTAGCCGAAATTCTTCACACAAAAAATAAATTCTGATCAGTTGTCGCACCATGCTGCTGCTCTTGGCGGAAGAGATCCGAAACAGCGCGTTTTTGACGCCCCGGCATCTCAGCCTAATTTTGTTTCAGCCTTCGCGCAGCTTCCAAAGGGCTGCCTTATGCGGTGCTTACATTATGGGGGATAAGCGAAAGCAAGATACCACCAATCTTCTCATTCTCATCATTTCGTAGCTCTCCTGTAAAGTTTGCCAACCTTTTTGATTATGCAAAAGTGCTTACGGCTTCATTATTACTCAGCGCAACCCATTCAGTTATTGCTTTACTTCCTCAAGCAGACCATCTTTATTCCCGACTTAAATCCAAGCGAACGAACCGGATTTAGTGGTAGTATTCAACAAGTGTAAACAGGCGGATTCGAGAGACAAACACTGCATCCGGTCAGAGGTGAATCTAATGGACCAGGCCATTTGGTACTCCAGTCACAGTCGTTCGTTTTACGTGGCTCAGATGTTTGATTTACGTCGGCTGCGTTACTGGTGTTCCGATGCTGTTTCTTAATTAACTCAATCAAAGAAGCTTCTGGCTCCAACAACGTGATTTTTAAGTGGTCTGCGGACCACACCTTGAGAATCGCTGGACTTGATCATTTAATTCCTCCTAGACTCTACCATTACTGCTTCGGTGAACCTCTGGATCGCTCGGAGCGCTTTTTCTCATTCCGTACAAGTCCACTGTGGGGTGCATCAGGGCTCTGTTCTAGGGCCACGATTCATTTGATATTTATTATTGACCTTGTGCAGATAATCGCTTCAAGTTTCCTACTGTTTCTGACGATATCAAGGTATAGCGCAGAATTTATTCGGGTGCCGATCAGCATTTGCTTCAATATGATCTACATATGTTACATCAGTGGCCAGCCCAAAATTCGATGAATTTCGACGTGAGCAAATGCAAGGTGCTCTCCATACGACGCAAAACTACCCATCCCTACAGGCTAGGACCGCAAGTATTGCAGCGATCTTCCGTTGAACACAGGCTGGGCGTGCCCGTTCAGGATGACTTCGGTTGTTCGCGGACATCCGAAAAGGCATCAAAAACTGGTAACCAACACGTCGATCTGTTGTGACGGACGTTTGGACAATTAGACGTCCCTAATTGCCAGCAGGTGCGCAGTTCGTATGTTCGTCTCCGTGTGGAATGTGCAATTCAAGCCTGGCAGTCATGATTGAAGCACCACCTCATTGTACTGGCAAAGCCTCGACATCGGTTTTTAAATACATCGTTGCAATTCGCAGTTTGCCATACGAACAAAAGGTGGAACGTTTGGGAGTATTTAGCAGACGGTTTCGTCGATTACGAGGCGGACTGTTAACAGCATCCACAATCCAAGTTGTTGCCGCTCTTTGCTGCTACTAAGCAGCAAAGACTTGAGCTCAGCACAGCAATGCATCCGCCTGAAATGCCGCAGAACTTTCTTTTCTATTGGTGTGTGCTACTCGTGAAACGCCCTCCTCGGATCGATCATTTCTACACTGACCTTAGCCATGTTTACAAGCCGGACGGATGGAGCACTCTCCA